CCTTCTCCTGGCAACCCCATCTCCTCACCTTTCCATGTTTCCTTCTCTCCTGCCCATCTACCAACCAACCTATCTTTTATCTGCCCCTCTGTCTTCATTCTTTCACTCCTTCCCTTTCCCTGGGAAAACCCTGGCCAAGTTGTGTGGTGCCAGATGAATTGGGCCCAAGTGCACAGTGGGATACCTGCAAGGACTTGCAGGAGTACCTCATTTTCCCTGTAACCCTTCCCCACTTTATTTCCTGTTTCCTTCCTCCAGGCAACTCCTAGATTCTCACCTTTCCCTGCTTCCTTCTTTTCTTCACACCCACCCAGCAACCTACCTTTTTACCAGTCCATCATCTTCAGCTATATTTATTATTTATCTACTTCATTTATATCCTAGCCTTCTCCATCGTGTGGATCCAAAACAGCTTACATTCTCTTCTCCTCCCAAGTTGAAAATGGGGCTCTCCATTTCACTTTCACTTTATCCATGAGCTCATAGCAATGTATAGGGTGTTCTGCCATTTAAATCTAGCAGCAACCTGGTATGGTGGGTCACAGTTAAGAAAAAGTCCTAGAGTGTAGTTGAAAGTCACAAGGCACAGTTATCTTGCCAAAGCTAAGTAGGTAGTGGTCTGGTCATTGCTGGATGGGAGATCTGGGGGCATGATGGATGCCGCCTTAAATTTTATAGAAGAAAGGTGGAATGTAAATGTAATAAAATAAATAAGGGTCTTCCCAGGACCACCCAATATAGTCATGGTTGAATGGGCATCTCTGGTGGATTCTTTCCAGGTTAAGTCCTGTCTTCCAGCCACTATACCATGCTACATTTCTATAGCAAATGACTGTTGTCTTTCTGTTTTTCCTTTAAGCTGAACTACAAAGAAAATGAATACTTTGAGAACATAATTCAAAACTTAGTGTTTGACCAGAAGCAAAGGCTGAAGAAGCTCAGAGAGAGGGTGGACAAGGAAGAGTATGTATTTCAACTGCATAATTTGTGAATATAGTTCTCTTTTTAAAATGCCTCTTGTTGGATATTTTCCGTCCTGCCACAAATCAAGTTTTCCCACCACGCTCACTTGCGTAAGGAGACAGGAGAATGCGGTGTCCTTCCATCTTGCAGTTAGGTACGAGTGTTGCTTGCTTGCAGGCACACAGCGACAGCACCTTCATGCTGTAAGAGCAATCTTCACTCTCCACCAGGCAGGCTGATTTTAAAACAGTGTCGGAGAAGACTGGGAGTCCTGGATTCTCTTCCTGCTAAATCAGTGATCAGGAAGTGAAATATCTCATTGTGTTCTTGTCTTTCCCCACTATTCTCACTAAACAATTGGAACAAATTTATTAGGGCCAAGAAAGGTGAACACTTTGCTGTGGTTTAAGTGACCAGACATTAATCACAGCATCATCATTCCCTATTCCTTTCTGCTTCCTTTGTATACCTACTCCCCTCCTGCAACTGGCTGCCATGTCCTGCTGTCTCACAGTTAGGTAAAGTGTTACTTGCTTGCAGGCCCATAGCAACAGCATGTTGTCAGCACCAGGGTTAATTGTTGTTAATGCTAATCAAGATTCCCACTTAACCAGGATGCAGCCAGCTGCTAATCTCTGAACCCTGTTTACCAGCATATTTGAACTGGAGATAGACTGCTGAGTTAGGTTTAATTGAGCAGGCTCCTTGCTTCAGTAATAATGGACAGAATGACTTATGTTCAAAGTGCCTATTCTTACTACCAGGAAAACATTTTTATCATGTAAATCACTTAATAAGCTGGGTCATGTGATAACTGTGCCAGGGTCAGGCAATCATTTTACCAACAGTGATTTAGCCATTGAGCTGCTGTTTGAGCGTGGATCAGAAGCATAGTATCCCAGGTCAAAGTCAAACAGTGTGCCCGATAAACAGACAAGTTTACTGTTTCAATGATGGAAATTATCAGCACAAGTACCATTACAATAATAATTGGTGAAATAAATTGCGGCATCATAAAATGCACCCAATGTCTCTTTGGATATATTCTGGACGTTAAATAACACAAACCTCATAGGAATAACAAAAATACACAGGGAAAATGTGTTGCAGGTTCTGTGCATGCAAGAAATGACACTAGAGCAGTAAGAAATAGTAATGGAAAAAAGACCCCATACCAAAAGAACATGAGAACACAATAACATAAGAAGAACTCTGCTGGGTAAGACCAATAGTTCATCTAGTCCAGTATCCTGTCTTACAAAGTGTCCGACTGTCTCACACAGTTCCTCTGGATAGTCAAGAAGAGGGCAGAGAGGCTGAGGCCTTCCCCTGATGTTGCTTCCTGGCACTGGTATTCAGAGGTTCACTGCCTCTGAATGTGGAGGCTCCCTTCTTTAGTCACCATGGCTTGTAGCCACTGATAGACCTATCCTCCATGAATCTGTCCAAATGCCTCATCATAACCAAGCACTATCATCAAACACTCAGAAAAGCTCATTTTTTAAATGAAGATTTTGAAATTGGCTCATAGATCAATTAGGCTTTCATACCATCCTGTGGAGCTTTAAAAATCACCCTTTGGAGTGTTTGCTTAGCCCTGCTGGAGCGGCAACTGCATCCGAGAGGAAGACTAAAAACAGATGTCAGCTAAGTTGGGCATGTTCAGTACTTTTCTTTTACATTGTTAGCCAATTTAAAACTTTTCAAGCAAATGACATTCAAGGCACAGTATAGGTGAACATCATGAACTAGAGAGATTTGGACTTGGAGCAACTAAGTGCAAATTTTATCATAACTTCCTGTAGGGAGCTTTCTCTTTCACCCCTTGTGCAAAGCAGCCTTCCCTTACTGAGATGACCAGTGAGAGCCTTCCATGTGACTCCGTGCTTTGCTGCTCATTGTCTTTAGCAACTTACTGGAGCAGGAGGGAGAGAACATTACAAACCAATTTACTTCTACCAGATTCTGGGTGCAAGCAGCAAAGGATGCTTTCCCCCTTCTTTGTGACTTTACCAGACACATGTAGCTGACCGCCATTGGAGGAGGAGTGCTGAATGCCATGGTCTGACCCATCATAAGAAACCCTTGTGTTGCCAGGGGTTTTCCCAAAAGATATATGAGCCAGATAAAGCATTGTCATTTATCCCAGAACTGAGAGAAGACAGCCATAGGCTGCTTTCACACTCATTGGATAATGCACCGTGAAACAGGAAAGTCTACTTGAGAATGATTGTTAAAGTGCTCTGAAAGGGCATTATCCAACATGTGTGAAAGCAGTCGTAATGTCTGACAGGGATCAACCATGCTGCCAAGCCACTTTTACAACTGAATTGTCACAGCTAAGTATATCATCCTTTTGAATGCTGGATAATGCTGTTAGTCTTTCCTGCCTACTTACCTCTTCCTCACTGTCACTAGGGCCCTTTCCCTATCAGCAGCAACAGCAAAGGAAGAAGGGAACAGGAACTGCAGACAGAATATAAAAACATGGCACATGTGAACGTATTGCAGTTTTGGGTCTTCACTAGGGTTACCAAGTGTATTTTCCTTACCGTCGGGGGAGCCGTCCCTCGATGTGTGTGTGCGCGCGCCGCCAGTACGTCACCGGAAGTGACGGGCGACGTCGATCAGGTTGAGGGCGTGGCCCCGAATCATCGGAGGGAAAACCATAGAGTTTTCCCTCTGATGATTGGGGCCACGCCTCCAACGTGATCGACGTGGTTGCATCCCCTCTGGTGACGCAGCCACGCTGCGCTTCGGGGGGGTAGAGTTCCCCCCGGGGCCTGATTCCGCGGTGGCAGAAATTGGGCCTCCGAAGTGGGGGGTTACCCGCCACCCGCCCCCACTTGGCAGCCCTAGTCTTCACAATGGATCTGACAGGCAACATAATATAGTCATAGGTGTCATGTTTTTATATATTAAGTCTGCAGTTCCATGTTAAAGTCATTATATGTCCTTGGAAACCTTCACACACTTTGATGGAAGGAGCTTCCTTATTCTGAGTTAAAGCTCTAGCCTGGCTAGTTTTTGTGGCCTCCTGTGTCTTGAGAGATCTGTTACACACTTGTAGCATGAGCCCATTTTCATTAGGGGTAGTGTGGACTGAGCCTGGCACCTGATACATGCAAAGGACATGCTTTACCACTGAACTACAGCCTTGTAACCCAAGTCTACCACTTCAGTTCACATACATTCCACTATGATTTTGGGTGCAATACGTTCCATAAAGAAACCAATGGTAAAAAGAACAGGAACATGCAGCACAATAAACAAGGTTTTCATCAGAAGTCCTGTAGTTCACCTGCCACATTTGGACATGGCATGGTAAACAACAGGTGGAAAGGACCAGAGGCCATCTTCTTCAACCACTCATGAGGGAGCTATCCTGCCAGTCCCTCACAGATCAACACATGAAATCCAGGCCACAATCTGCCCTAGGAAGAAAGCAGGCACACCGTAGATAGAGGCCAGGAAAGTTTAAGATTAGCAGCTCAACTCACTATTGTGTCCAGATGGCTGTAGCCTCCCTTGCAATAATTTAACTTAGTCCTTTGCATTTCCTGTCTCTGTTTTTTCTTAAGGGTAAAATCACAAATTACATCAAGTCAATGCCTTGATGTCAAAGAGCACAGCACAAGAATAGGGAGGGTGCTCTCACACCAGTGCCTTTTCACTACAGTGGGACTTGAGCACAAAAAGTACCAATATGTCCAGTCAGATCTGGCAAGTTTCACAGCTGTGCAGTTTCCCCCTCCCACTGACTACCGTTAATAATTCATGCCTGTCTCTTGAATTTTCCATAGGTGGATAAGCGGAGCAGCTGTAGTCAATGCCTTTTATTCAGCAAACAGGAATCAGATTGGTAAGCTAAGCCCCTCTAAGAAACACTGCCAAACAATAGGGTAGGACTGGCATCTTGAAAGTGGGGCCTAGTGATCTCCCAGAATTACAACTGGTCTTCAGATGACAGAGATCAGTTCCCCTGGAGAAAATGGCTGGAGGGTGGACTCTATGGCATTATACTCTGCTAAGGCTCTTCCCCTCCCCAAACCCCACTGTCCTCAGGTTCCATCCCCCAGTCTCCAGGAATTTCCCTATCCAGAGCTGGCAACCCTACAACAGAGCATGGGGAAGCTGGTCATGTTGTCACACTACCAGGGGTCATTTCTAGGGTTGCCAAATGACCCCGGGGGGCGGGGAATCCCTCGCTTCGGAGCCCCGAGTTCCGCCCCGGCGGAATCGGGGCCCGGGGGGAACCCCGCCCCCGAAGCTGCATCTCCAGAGGGGACGCAGCCACGTTGCTGACGTTTGGGGCGTGGCTGAGCTCGTCGGGGGGGGGGAAACCATATGTTTCCCCCCCAACGAGCTCAGCCACGCCCCCAACGTCAGCAACGTCTGACGTCACTTCCGGTGACGTCGCGGTGGCGCACCCGTGCACACGCACAAAGCCGGCTCCCGACCAGGACGGAGCCTCCCCCGCCGGTAAGTTTTCAGGATTTGGCAACCCTAGTCATTTCGTAGAAAAAGAGCTGCAGGAGCTCATTAGCATACCTAATAGGCTATTAGCATAATAGCTCATTAGCATATGCCACGCCTCCTGACGTCACCAGAAGTGATGTCAGAAAGGGAAGCAAAAAGGGGAGGAGGCATCTTCAAAAGCCTCCCTTTCCCTTCCCCATCCGGCCTGCCAAGTTGGGGGGGGGGGGGGGGGGGGAAGCAAAGAGTCTACCATGTCACTGCCAGACCTGTTCATTTTGCCAATTCATGTTCTTAGCCTGCAACATGAGGTCTTGCCACACAGAATGCTGCCCTTGTATGGTGCTTCAAAATGTTCTTCTGGTATATGGCTTCTTTGGTGTTTGCTCCTGTGACAACAGTCAAATACTGATCTCCTTGTGAAGAGTAAACATCTGATCATTCTGGCTTCCATTGAATACTGTGAAAATATCAACTTGACAGATTCAGCAAGGTGTAAAAGAGATTAGAGAAAGGAATTTAGAAGCAATTCACAAGAGTGTGTGCTCTTTGATGTCAGGTTAACTAACCTAGAGAGATACCATCTCGAGATTTGATTTCCACAACCACTGTAATTGGAGGACTGTAAGAGTACATTCTTTGAAGCCTTTCTGGAAGAGTAGAAAAGCCCCATTAGTCTCTCCCTAGGGCAAACAATAGCTTAAATAATCCTTTGCATAAGGAATAATAGTCAGCAATATCATTACTTGTGGGATTAGCAATGAATGGGCATTGAAAGATTTTTCATTTATTTCAAAAGAGGTTTTATAAATATTACCGTATTCTTAGCATTTAACCGGAGTTGGGTCTCAGGCTCAGACTACATATTCTGGAAAGGTTCTGTGTTTTTTTTCATCTCAGGTTCATTTTTAACCCAAAGCACCCCTGAAAGAGCAGCAGCTGATCAGAGGAGGAAGTGTCTGCTTAGCATTTTCACCTCCAAGTTCCCCCCGCCCACAGCCCAAACTCTCCCTTCTCAACCTGCTTCTTCAGATGCAGGGGTGGGAAGAATCTGAGGAGTCTGCAGGGACCCTTCCTCTTTTTTCTTGCAAATGAACAACTGATTTTTGGCTAGAGAAGAAAAAGTCCATCAGTAAAGTCCATTGCTCCCTTGCAGTCTCCCCCAGCCTTCTCCAGGTTAAATAAAGACATGAAAGAAAGAGGCACTTGAAGCCATGAGAAAAGACAGGATAAAAATATTGCAATAGATAAAATTAATAATAAATTAAAATCACAGAAGTGCACCTAACCAGTTGGATCCTACCATGTTTTCCACTGCTGAAAAAAAGGGAAAGTGGTCCCCTTTGGTCACAAAAAGGCTATGCTAAGGATCATGGGACTTGCATGAAGGAAAAAAACCTTCTGATGTAGAGACTGTAGCAAGGAACAGAAGTAGATGAGATTGGCTGAAAATGCTGGCTGGATCCAACCCAATGAGTAGTTTGAACTTCAGATATGTTACCAGAGCCTTGCCTTAAGAACATAAGAACATAAGAGACGCCAATGTTGGATCAGGCCAAAGGCCCATCCAGTCCAACACTCTGTGTCACACAGTGGCCAGAAATACCAGTGCCATCAGGAGGTCCAGCAGTGGGGCCAGGACATTAGAAGCCCTCCCACTGTTGACCCCCCCCCAAGCACCAAGAAGACAGAGCATCACTTGCCCCAGAGCCCCTAGCTATACCTTGTGGCTAATAGCCACTGATGGACCTCTGCTCCATATGCTTATCTAATTCCCTTTTGAAGCCGTCCATGCTTGTAGCACCCACCACTTCCTGTGGCAGTGAATTCCATGTGTTAATCACTCTTTGGGTGAAGAAATACTTCCTTTTATCCGTTCTAACCCGACCGCTCTGCAGTTTCATGGAGTGCCCACGAGTTCTTGTATTGTGAGAAAGGGAGAAAAGTACCTCTTTCTCTACCTGCTCTTTCCCATGCATAATCTTATAAACCTCGATCATGTCACCCCTCAGTCGTCTTTTCTCCAAGCTAAAGAGCCCTAAGCGCTTTAACCTTTCCTCATAGGGAAAGTGTTCCAACCCTTTTATCATTCGAGTTGCCCTTTTCTGCACTTTTTCCAAAGCTATAATATCCTTTTTAAGGTGTGGTGCCCAGAACTGCACACAGTATTCCAAATGAGGTCTCACCATTGATTTATATAGGGGCATTATTATATTGGCTGATCTGTTTTCAATACCCTTCCTAATAATCCCCAGCATAGCATTGGCCTTCTTTATTGCAGTCACACACTGTCTCGACATTTTCAGTGAGTTATCCACTACAACTCCAAGATCTCTCTCTTGCTCAGTCTCTGCCAGTTCAGACCCCATCAATGTGTATTTATATTTAGGATTTTTGGCTCCAATGTGCATCACCTTGCACTTGGCCACATTGAACCCCATTTGCCATGTTGACGCCCACTCGCCCATCCTTGACAGATCCCCTTGGAGTGCCTCACAATCCTCACTGGTTTTCACCACCCTGAACAACTTTGTATCATCCGCAAATTTAGCCACTTCACTGCTTACTCCCATCTCCAAATCATTAATGAACAAGTTAAAAAGCAGTGGACCAAGTACTGATCCCTGCGGTACCCCACTGCTTACCACCCTCCACTGAGAAAATTGCCCACCTACACTCACTCTCTGTTTTCTATGAACTAGCCAGTTTTTGATCCATAAAAGAACTTGTCCTTCTATCCCATGATTTTTGAGCTTACTTAGGAGCCTTTGATGAGGAACTTTGAAGTATGTGTCTTAACAAATATAGAGGAGCATATGCAGAAAACCTTTTCTTTTCTTTTCTTTGGACTAACTATATCTCCCGCCCACATACATATTCATCAGAGAACGAAAACCATTCATGTGGCTTCTTGGTAGTCCTGTTACTTTTCATTTGAGAACGTAACACTGCATACAAACACAGTAAGCCACAAATCCATGAGTCAATCTGTTCACATGCATGGACTTTTCTGATGTATAGCAGAACTTCTTTCTGAAAGCAGTCTTCTGAAACTCAAGAGAAGAAGGAGATCTCACAAGCAGTTGACAATATTTGAAAGCAGAAAGTTGCAAGTTTCACTACTTCTATCATTCTTCCCAAGGGTTTAGACTTGGTAGCATATCTTTTTTTTATAGTCTTAGGAGTAATATAACCTATAGAACTTCTAGTGCCAGCTAAATAGAAGCCAGCCACATTTTTAGAAGTAATTTCCAAGCAAAGGGCATAACAATAAAATACAGGGTGATTATACTGCAGTCCTTACCCTAGTCATTTTATGCTCGCACAGTAAAATGGGTTGTGATAAAATTAAATGTCTTACAACCCTTTCAATTATTTTTTCAGTGTTCGGTTATTTTGTTTTTGCAATATTGTCTCTAATATTAAGCTAAGCATTCAGTCAACCTGGGTAAGAACCAGTTGCAGTAGCATCTGTTTAACTCCCATTATGCTGGTGTACAACTGATGTCACTTTTCTACATGATTGATCTCTTCAGCAGCCTCTTCAGAAATGAAAGTGGCAGCTTGAAACAATATTCTGGGATGATGTTTCACAGTTTATTAACATTGCAGAAAATACAGTTCACCCTGAACTAGCACATCTCTTCTGGCTGAGATGGATACTATTGTTACATAGTGTTGTTGCTGTCGTTGTTCTTCACCATCTGAGCTGTTAACTGTTGGAGTAACTCCACCGAACAGCAATGCAAAGAATTAGACACAGTTGTCTTTGTGACAGCAGGGGAAAGTGAAGACCGTATCAGTAGTACAAACCTATGCTGGCTTAAAACTGTTATGGCTTTCTCCTGAAAAATCCTAGGAAATGCAGTTGGGTAAGACTGTAATAAAGCTTCCCCAGTATTCCCAGGGGAGAGAAGGAATTGTTATACCAATAGAAGCCTATAGTGTTGGTGCAGACTTAGTAAAACATGGTCCATTAGACAGCCAGGTGGTTAGATTCTTCATATAGATTCATTCATTCATCCCATCGTGGATCAACTCTAGGTGCATGAGACAGAAGAGATCCTTTGCTGAGATAACCAGAACCAGGCTGACAAGAAAGACAATTGAGTGGGTGAGGAACCCAGCAGTGTGCATGTGTGTCATTTCCAAACCCAACAGACCTATTTCTATAATAACAATCCTAAAAAGGAACATTTCCCAGATTGTTTAACAGGGCTGAAATTCACTATATACTATTCCATATTTTCTGGTTTGTCTGTTTTTTTAAGGTATGGAGTGTTTTCAAAAGTTTTACTAGCCAGAATGATCAATCAGATCCCAAAATAGCACAGTCTGGAAGGTCTGGTAACTTATAGTGCAATCCTGTGGAGAAATACTCCATTCTAAGCCCATGGATTTCAGTAGGCTTAGATTGTAGTGCCTCTGTATAGGATTGCACTGTTCAGGCAGTATATGCTCAGGGTTGACTTAACAAAATCAGTATGGATCCAAAAATGGTTGCTGAAAGATGGAGACATTCTGTTACAAGGTGGCAGCATTAAACATGAGTTTGTGCTTGCTTGTGGCAGAAGGTTAAGTCAGAGATGGTCGTCCGAGGACAATGGGCCAGGGCTAAGAGAGCAGACTACAGCCAGTGTTTCTTTCCTGGACACTGATGAATATACGATAGCCTTGGTAACCAAAGTGCACCAAGGGGCATCAAGATGGCAACCTACTGGGAGTTGCAGTCTGAATTGTTATATTACAATTTTAGTTTTCCCTGGGTCCTAGAAACAGATACAAAAGCTGTCTTCGCTTCTTCTGTGCACTATGTATGTTCTTGAAGGGAAACTGACCTGAATTTGTTGTGTGTAATCATGAGAGTGTTGTGATGACCTCATCCTAGGCATGGCTGATATCAAGCGAGGGTCCACTGGTGCTTGGGGAAGAGAAGAAAAAACCCGTATGACTAAGCAGAAACCATTAGTTATATAGCATCTATCTGAATGGGGCTGCAAACCTTTATACAGTTGTACATGATGGGGGGAGGGGAGCAATATGAAGATGCAAAACCAAGGCTAACTAGTGAGATTGTTTATTCTCCCATTAGTAAACAATGGATCTCACTGTGCCCACATTCAGTGCATGCACTTATTGTGGTCATGCCTGAAGAGCAAGAATTTAGGATATCTGGATTCTTTTCCTGGCAAGCGTTAAATGGGCAGCCAAAAAAAGACGTGCAATCCCCCAGCCACAACTGTATTTCTTTATTGATACGGGCAAAATGTTTCTGCTAGTCAGGAAGAGCCTCCCCCTTAGGAATAGTTGTGAACTCTCACATTGCCCGAGATTGCTCAATTTTGGTAAATGAAATAAGTATTGGGGGGGGGTGAAAAAGCTTAAAATATCATAGTCCTTAGAGGCACATTTCTTTAATGCAGTTATCATCACCATGTTTTGACATTTGCAAGGACTGTAAAACAAAGTGAGGCAATTCATCAAATTGAAAAGTAGGCTCATCCTGTGGTTTCATGCATTTATTTGTGTATACACCGTTGCTTCCCAATCCCGCGTGTAGCAGAGGGAGTCTGCAATCAAACCTCAGCTCATGATAGCTTTACTCCCTAAGAGAATTATCTTTTCCTGTTCTTTTTCTTGGCTCGTCTGTGCTTGCCAGTTGGAAGAGATTATTTTTGAAACATGTGAGGAAAGTGTTAATACAATATGAAGTCTTCATAGACAGATGTCCTTGTTTTGATGCATTACCCAACATCCACCCCACACACACACATGAGCAGCCAATTGGAATATAGCCAAATTTCTGGTAGGCCGCAGTACTACTTATGGGCAACATGACCTTAGGCATAGATCAGGGCAGCCAAGTATTGGTGGTTATGGAGAAGCACTATGGGTCCAATTTACCTAACCTTGGATGTTTGAGGCTGAAGCTTCAGGAGAAACTCATAGGAACCGAGGGACAGCAGGAATTCCAGAAAGGAGGGTGGCTGAAAGAAATAAAGAGTGGTCAGTGAGCTGAGAGGCAGGAAGATACTGAGGGACAGATGAGTGGAAGACACTGAAGCAAAGGAGAAGGATGGAGGAAGCCTAGAGCTGAGGAGAAGAATGACCAAAGAGGAAAACGAGAGACTCACCCAGGGCATACAGACATGAGGGGTTGCTGTGCTTAGAAGAAAAGATCAGACAGGGGAGTGACATTTGGAAATTGCCCTTTACACACAAACAAACATACAAAGTAACATGGGAGTTCTACAGTGTGGTGTCATGCTATGTTGCAAGACTGAGTATGCATGATTTGAACATCTGAACCAGGCTGATTGCGTGGGCCTTTCCCACAAAACTGGCAGTGTAGACAAGACCAACATACTCATACAGTATCTGAAGAAGTGAGCGGTGACCTCATCTATCAAGCGAGGGTCCACTCGTGTGGGCACTGCATCTCTAGCACATCTACCACAAATTATGTTAGTCTTTAAGGTGCTACTGGACTCTTTTCTGCATACTCAGCCATTCCTACCTTGACATTGCACCATACTGAAGCACGTCCTACGCTGCTCTGCGTATGTGTTCAATGCCTGAGAAATTGTGGCAATGGCTTGGGATGGAGGCATACATTTCATATGCTGACCTGAGCTATCAACCAGATCTTTGGCTTAAGATGTCCATTCTTACCATTTGTTTTATAGCATGGCAAGCGTAAAAAATACTGAAGTACTTCCTGTGGTGTCCTCTCTTTTTTGCAGTCTTCCCTGCAGGTATTTTGCAACCACCCTTCTTTAGTGCATCCCAGCCTAAGTCCTTGAATTACGGTGGCATCGGCATGGTCATTGGCCATGAAATCACCCATGGCTTTGACGACAATGGTAAGACAAAGAACTAATGTTTACCCCTCGGTTTTTATTGCAGCTATGATGTATAGTGCATACATACACAGAGACATTTATATTCATACTTGATTTTGTATGTGCATAAATGCAGTAGAGAAAGATTATGTAATAATTCCTTATAGATTGAGGAAATACAGGAAGTGCAAAACCCGGGTGAGTCACTCACTCATCCACTTCTTGGAAATTCTTGTTAACTTGAAGTCATGATAGTGTGAGACCACCCGCGAAGTGGCTTCATCAGCCAGATAAAATATCCTTGCAAAACCAGCTGTAGCATCCTGGTAAGGCAGGAGCTGACTGAAACTTTAATTCAGCAAATGGTGCCAGATACATTCCTATTCTCCTGCTCCCCTGCAAACTTCCAGGAGGGTAAGGCTGCTGACACACTTTAGTCCTGGCCAACTTCTGTGCTAAAACCAAGAGATGGGGAAGATCCCTGCCAGTCACTAGATGCCCATACGTACTGCTTTGAAGAAGAGCATGTCTGGAAGGTATTAGCAGTACAGTTCTAAGCAGAGTTATGATCTTCTAAGTCCATTTATTCCAGTGAAGTTGGAGGGGTATAACTCTCATTACAACTGCACTGTGTGAATGGCACAAATGCTTCTTTCCCTGAAGCCATCAAACAACTAGCTGGGGATAAAATTAATCCAAAGGAAAGGTAAGTATCTGTAATCCTTCATCTGATGCCACTGTACATTGTAATATGGCAGAGCATGGTACTGAAGATGGCTAAAACTGACTTTACCCACAATGGATATTGGATCTCATTGGTCTAAACCAAGGGTATTTCAGGGAAATATCCAATGTTGAAATGACACTTTAAGTTGTACAAGTACACTTGGAGCAAATTCATTTTAGCAGCCCCGATAGAAAAAGTGTTTAAATCAGTATAAGATGCCTTCATATTTGCAGTGTGTTCAGAACTATCAATGCATGTACCTTAAGTGCATATTTTATTCCAGGTAGAAATTTTAATGAGAAAGGGGACCTTGTAGACTGGTGGACTGAAGACTCTGCAAAAAGGTTTAAGGAACAGTCTGAGTGCATGGTGTACCAGTATGGAAACTTCACGTGGGATCTAGCTGGAGGACAACATGTACGTCCCCTTCTCTCTTAATCAAAATGATCTTTTATCTTTACTATTTTTATGCATACTTTTATTTCACTAAACATGTTTTGTGTAAAGTGATATTGTGAGATTAAACATCTCCTGTTAACACTAAACATACACACACATCTCTTCCAGAATGCTTCCTTATGTAAAGCCTAAGGCATATATCACCCAAAGCTAGGCTTGCCAAGTCCCCCCAGGGGGTGGGGAAACCCCCACCCCATAGGCCTGTTACCCCGGCGGATCGGGCCCCGGGGGGAACCACACCCCCAAAGCAGGCGACGTGCCCAGTGTCAGCACATCACCCGGAAGTGACGCAGTCGCGTCGGGCGCATTGGGGGAGGGGCTGTGATCATCCGAGGGAAAACTCTATGGTTTTCCCTCGGATGATTGTGCCTCGCCCCCAGTGTGCCCGACGTGGTTGCGTCACTTCCGGGTGATGTGGTTGCGGCGCGCACACGCTTCTCTCGCGCGCACACACGCCTGGAGCGGCGCTGGAGTCCCCCGCTGTAGATACAGTGGGGACTTGACAACCCTACCCAAACCTCACATTTAGATAGTTTTCATATGTAGGTGTGCCTGTGTCAGAATCCACTGCAAGAACAGAAGAGAAGGTTCTAACTATCTAACTGTGCAATGAACAACTAGGAAGGAAGTGGGCTCAAAAAGAGGAAGTCTCCAATGAGCCAATCAGGAGACAGGAGAGGATCATTTGTAAATACCAGGGAATCATTAACTCCTTCTTACCATTCTTGCTTCATGCACGCAGATCTTGTATACTCTAACACAAGTGGGCAGGAAAGGAGGACTTTACTGCCCCTGCTATTTTCCCCTGCATCTTCTCCCCTTCGCCAGATATTTGTTTTCTCCTATAACTTCCTTCCTAGCCCCTTTCTTGCCTTTCTACAACCCAGGATTCTGAATCCATGTTTGTAATGAAATCCAGGGCAAGGGTTAAGCACCATTTTTCCTACCTACCACTTTTTCGTCTGCCAATCTCTACTCCTGATAGCACCTTGCAGTTGAGAAACAATGGCCAGGTGTTTGAAAGCATGTGTTATATACCAGTTGTGTTGTGCTGGTACACAACAGCTTGAGAATACTGAACACACAACTGGCTTGTAAGCAGTGGTCTGAAACTTGCAGGTATTAAAAGGGGTATACACAGGCAGTCAGATTTTTAGCTACACTGGATTTCTGATGCATTTACAATGCACTTAGCATTTCTAAAAGGTAACATTTTCAGGATCCATCAGTTGCATATGGATGATGGCTTGCATGCACTCACTATAGCAGTTACTGTGGTTTTCAGTTTCAGTTTCTCATTCCTTCAACAAGCAGATTAGGTAGCCTGCTGACAGCCCACAATCATAAGGCCTGTTCCCATTTCCAAGAACCATTTTCTTATGCATGTCATGCTTACTTTGCTCCAGTGCAATGCCCATTGGTATGGTGGCTGGAACGTGTGTGCTGGGAGGGACCTTTCACATTGTAGGGTGAGTGGTCTGTGTAAGGTTTGCCAGCTTCAAGGATGGAGATCTCCTGGGATTACAACTGGTATTCTCGAAAGCAATAGTTCTCTTCTCCAGGGAAATTAGTTAGCATTTTCATTTATTCCTTTTTCTTTGCAGCTGAATGGAATCAATACCCTTGGAGAAAACATTGCAGATAATGGTGGCATTAGACAAGCATACAAGGTGAGAAATGTCTGTTTTTCTCTGTCTTCACAGTTCAGATTGGTGTTGTTGGAACGTGTTCATTAAAATGCTGTTTGGAAAGGTCATAGTTTGTAGGCAGACAAAAGGAGACCACAAGTCGGCATTGTTTTTGCTCAGAGTCTCTGTTTACATTACTAGAGCGATCCTAAGCAGAATTATACCCGTCTAAGCCCATTGCCTTCAATGGACTTAATGGAGTATCACTTTGCTCAGGATGGCACTGTTCCTCTCTAGAATTTTGTTACATGATCACTGGTACCTTTCCAGATACTTTTTTCCACAATAAAGAAGTGGGTCTTTGCAGCTGGCTGCACTTAAGAAAATAAGTGTTTTTCAGGTACATCAAAGGATGGCCGTGCAATAAATGCATCCATACAGACCATGGAGTCTTCCAGCAACTGGTTGCACAGAATATCCTGGACCAATGGCAGCCAGTGTTGCTCCTTCTCCAATGTAACTGCGAAGAATTTTGGTGCAGTTACTCCACTTTTGAGTCTAAACGGCAGGTTCTGATGCATTCCATTTATTCTTAATTTAACATTTAGCTTTTGGGGAGGAATAATGCAAGAAAATGCTTAATTCAGTTGTAGATACATAATATCTGGGACAAAGCCTACAAATATATACATCTTGAAAAATGGTTGGGGATTTAATCTTTCTGTTCCTTTACTACTGAAAGCAACAGCTGGACATTCTATTAAGCAGCGGCTGGACAAACACTTGTCAAGGATGCTCCAGGCTGATCCTGCATTGAACAGGGGGTTGGACTAGATGGCCTGTAGGGCCCCTTTCAACTCTGTGATTCTATGAAATCGGTTCATTCTATTGGGAATAGCCAAGAAAAAGCAAGTTACACTGAGAATTAAACACTGTGCTTATGCAAATGTATTCATGCAGTCTTACACATTTTATACTTTGGCTACCCTGACCTGGATGGTCCAAGCTAGCCTGATCTCATCAGATCCTGGAAGCTAAGCAGGGTCAGCCTGGTTAGAGTTTAGATGGAAGAACATCACGAAAGGCCAGAGTTGCTACGCAGAGGCAGGCAGTGGCAGTCCATCCCTGTTCATCTCTTCCCTTGAAAGCCCTATGGAGTTGCCAGTTGTGACTTGGTGACACTTCACACACACAGAGCTTAGGTCAGAGTATCAATTATGAACTGAGCTTAGGCAAGTCTGTAGTACTGTTTACACAGAATATGGTTCCTTTCCCCACATATCATCAGGAAAAGGTAAGTTATGGGTAGTACATAAAGAAGACTCATTGGTTTGACATGACCGTGGATTACATTTTGTGACTATGAGCCTTGTTAGTATCCTGAAGATCCCAGCTGTGTTTATTAGAGAATTACATTTCGCACCATTATGCTCCCTGTGGTAAATTTTAAAATGAGTTACTAAAAAAAATCACAGCAAAATTGAAATCACTGCAAAATATAACTGCAAAATGGAAGTCATTGATGGGAGGGTTCCCATCAAAGATGGAATGGCATAAGTGAATCTAGAATATAGCATTATTAACAAAATTGACCTATCATAAGAGGCAATAAAAGAATAATCAAAATAATAACTTGTAAAGAACTGTATACCTGTACTGATGTAGCTTCCACAGGAGGCACAGGCTGGGGTCTAGCAGGGCAGGTCACAAGCAAGGTTGCAGAGAGCAACCAAAGTCCAGTCCAAAAGTCAGGGATTCCAGAGAGCAGGCTTATCAAAGTCCAGTCTAGGGTCAAGTAGTTCCAAGCAGCAAGTCCAGTCCGAGATCAGGTATTCCAGAAAAGCTGGTTGTCAGGTCCAGTTCAAGGTTGCAGAGGTGCAGTGGCAGCATTGGTGACTCAGTAGCAAAGTGTGGTTGTTACGTCCACAAACTGCCTCTTTTCCCAGCTGCATTTATAGACAGGAGGGCCTGGCGGGGCCACGGGGTCGCCAAGAGTCGGACTCGACTGTGCGACTGAACAACAACAACATTTATAGTCAAGTCTTAACAAGCTATACTCCCAACCAATTCCTTGGCAGTCATCCTGAAACTACTCATTCATCTCTTCAGTTGACAGCTGACGAGGGGCCATGAGTCTCACGGTTCTTCTCCTTTCTTGCAACTCTGATAGCATTGGCACTGCAAGGGTGTGGCTGAGCTAGGTTGGCTGGAAGTGGCTGCCAAGACTTGTTTACTGCTTCAGAGCTACAAGGTGTTGGCTTGGTTTCAGCTGTAGGCTATGACACCTGATCTCTTGTTGTTCTCCTTCTGGCTCAGAGCCAGCTGCAGCTGTTCAATTAGCTAGCAGGTAGCTCTTCCTCAGACAAATCTGAGCCCTCAGCACAGACTGACTTACAACCATTCATTGACCACTGGAATACAAAATTTTCGGATGCTATGAAAAGTTATGTATTTTTTTCTTTGATAATTTTTTTTAAGAAATGAGGGGCAGAATTAAGAGGCAATACAAAAGAAACCAAGCCATTTTCCCAGTATTTCATAATTTCTAAGCCCTTGTGCTGGTAAATCACTAACATAGTATAGTGTCCTACTTCTTACCCTTCTAAACTCTGGAAAACAAAAGGTTTTGTAGGATCCTGTACAGGACAAAATGACAAACAAGATAATACAGCCTTGGATGAGTCAAAATAAGGGTTCAGTCCCATCACCTGCTTATCACCCAGCCCATATATTAAGATCTTTGAACACTTCACAGAGAAATGCCTGCAAGAGGGGCAAAATTCTGTACTGCTTAGCATGTTGCTTTTTTTTTGTAAGAAGGCTAACAGGGTTCTGTGATGAGATTAGGGCTGCCAAGCCGCGGCAGGGGATCCGTGTGTCTTCACTGGATCCCTGCCGTGGGGGACAGTGATACGCGTTGCACCGCCGTCGCCAAGATGTGACGCTATGCGTCGCTCTGGCAACGGGGCTGTTTGGAGTCCCGTTGCCAGAGCGATGCATAGCATCACATCCTGGCGACAGTGGTGCAACGCGTATCGCTGTTCCCCGCGGCAGGGATCCTGTGAAGACGCACGGATCCCCCGCCGTGGCTTGGCAGCCCTAGATGAGATTAAGGAATTACCAGGAGTTTTTACAAGTTTGTTCCCTAACTTTCTTGGGGTGTTTAGCTCTACAAAACTATGGCAGAAAAGGTCTGACATTTAACTGCAGTTTTGATGAAATTTTGAGTACTTAAAATCTTTCTCAGATGTGGTAATGGAAAAACAGGGGTGTTTTTTTCCCTATAGCCTCTTTATCTTAATTAAAAAGTACAGAACACTTAGGCAATTTAGCTAAAGTCCAGGACAAAGTGCATTCCAGTAAAGATCATAATGTTTTTGCTGCCCATACAGAGATTAGAGCTCTTTTATCTTCCGCTGAAAATTCCTAAAGAATTTTCCCATCAGCATAAAGCCCAGTAAACTGAGATGAACTATAGTGGCATAAGATACCCAAGACATTGCCTTCTTCCTTTACCCTGTTCTGATTTCTCATACTGTTGTTGTTGTTATTGTTGTTGTTGTTCAGTCGCACACTCAGGTGCGACCCCATGGACCACATCATGCCAGGCCCTCCTGTCTTCCATTGTGCTCCGGAGTTTGCTTAATTTCAAGTTCGTTTCCTCGACAGCACTGTCTAACCATCTCATCCTTTCCTGTCCCCTTCTTCTTTGACCTTCAGTCTTTCCCAGCATCAGGGTCTTCTCCAGTGAGTGCTCCCTTCTCATTTGGTGGCCAAAGTATTTGAGCTTCAGCTTCAGTATCTGGCCTTCAGATCTCCAGCACATATATTTTTAATGAGTGAATAGCAATTGTGGGGAGCCTCCGTCCAAATCCAGGCTGAGGGCAGGGTGTTAACTCTCTCCTGTACTGTTTTCTCAGCCTCAGGCGAAGTTGTGAATTGCACAGTTGGGGAAAGTATGTAGGATGCCTGATTGATGCCTGTATGTCCCTTCAGTGGGGCAAGTAGCAGCACCATAGAGTTGTTTTGGGGGCAGAAAAATGGCACTAGGAGAAGAGGAAGAGTACTACACTTTCTCCCTGGAGCACAATCTCAGTCTGAATCATGATTCCCCACAACTGCAATGTTTGTGTCTGTAAAGTGCCATCAAGTTGCAGCCGACTTTTGGTGGCCCCGTAGGGTTTTCAAGGCAAGTGATTAAACAGAAGTGATTTGCCATTGCCTTCCTTTTCAAAGTCTTCTTTGGTGGTCTCTGATCCAAGTACTGACCCTGCTCTGACAAGATCAGGCTATACTACACCATTCCACATCCCCCACAACTGCTATTTACCAATTAAAAGACATGCTAGAGAGATCCAGTCAGGCTTTTCCAGTGTCTCACCTGGTTTTGCCCAGGGTTTCACTGTCAGTTGAATTCATGGGGGCTATCAGCTTCCTGCAGTTTATTTATGATGCTTTTTGATATATCCCCAAGGAACTTGAGTTAGGGTGCCAGAATTTCTTCCCTCCCTCACAAAAAATCCTGGAAGGTGAGATACTGACTGGCCTAGTTTGGTGTAGTGGTTAAGTGTGCAGACTCTAATCTGGGAGAACCGGGTTTGATTTCCCACTCCTCCACTTGCAGCTGCTGGATGACCTTGGGCAAGCCATAGTGCTGACAAGAGCTGTCCTTGAAAGGGCAGTTCTTGAAAGAGCTCTCTCAGCCCCACCTTACCTCACAGGGGATCTGTTGTGGGGAGGGGAAGGGAAAGGAGTTTGTAAGCCGCTCTGAGACTATGAATGAAGGGTGGGATATAAATCCAATCTCTTCTTCTTCTTCGTGTCTCCAAGTGAGTTTTTTCAAGAGTGAAGATTTGAACTTGGGTCTCCTCAGTGCAGCCCTAACCATGACATCACCCTGGCTCCGTAGCCTCCCACTGTGTTTTTCAGATGCCACATCAGATGGACAGCATCATGTCCTCAGTTCTCACCCAAGGTTGATGCGGACATCAGAAAGCCCTAATTTTTCTCCCTCCTCTTCTTATTTGACAGGCCTATGAAAACTTTGTAAAAAAGAATGGAAAAGAGAAATTGCTTCCTGGCCTTGACTTCAGCCACAAGCAGCTGTTTTTCCTGAACTTTGCCCAGGTATTGTACCCCACTTGACTGAAAGCTTTGAAAATTATTTTGAGTTACAATTTCACAGTAAGTTGGAAACAGCAGGCTGGCTTTTCTTTTTCTAATGTGAACTGGCAGAATTGCTAAGTCAAGCAGCCTTTGTGGCGGGGCTGAGAGGAGAGTGGCCTGTCACATGAAGTTAATCACAGCTAAGCACATGAATGCATCAAGGAGGTGAATCTGAGAAGTGGAGCTGTGTGGCCATGTGCATTTTTAAAAAAAACAAAAGACTTCATAACTTAGAGGAACTGAAATGTGTTTTCTCTTAGTTTTTTTTTGGGGGGAGGGGGTTATGTCGCAGCTTTACATACAATTCAGTACAATAAAGCCAAGCACTTCTCTTACATTTTTTGGATAGGGTGGGATATAAGCCTAGCAAATAAATAAATAATTCCTTTTCTACAGTAATCCTTTTGGGTTTTATTTTAAGGTATGGTGCGGAACCTTCAGGCCGGAATATGCTGTCAATGCCATTAAAACAGATTCACACAGTCCGGGCAATTTCAGGTCAGTGTTTTAAAAGTAAAATAGTGTAATTCCAGTTTAAAAATAAACCAAAAACAGTACTTGCCTACAAAAGTTCATGTCCCAGTAGATCTGAGGGTTCCTTCTACTTTTCCTGAGCGGTGTGGGAACTAGTGCATAGCATGTTCCATTTTGATAATCCCCCAAATCCAACACTTCATCAGTACTATTGGACATTCTAAGCCACGCAGAAGGATTTCAGCATGCTCCTTTTCAGTCCTTTGTTTCTGCAGGTCATAGGAGGCATGATGACACTGAAGTGGAAAGGATGTGTGTCCTGGACTTCTCCCATATGGCTTAGTTCTAGCACAGTACAAGTGATATACACTCAGCTTATCTCCCACCCTGCTATAATAAGAACCTAAGAAAGACCCTAAATTGCTTCTTTGTGTGTTTTAGACTCATTCTCACAGCACTATTAAGGTTGACAACAACCTGGAAAAAAATGTCCTGCTGTCTAATGGAAGCTTAATGGGATGTTATTTACCAAGTGATGTGGTCTACCTTCCAGCTATGAAAAGCTTCACCTGCCAATTTCCACATATTAAGCCTCTATTTAAGGGGCAGGACGTTTTTTTTTCCTCTCCAGCTTGTTGGCAAGTCTAAGTACTACAGCTCTCACAAAGCATAAGGTGAGTCTTAATGTGATAGGCAGGGTGCTCATCCTTGGAGCCATTTAGTACCCATTCAGTGTAGGAAGGCCACAGTAGTGTAGGAAGGCCCTTATTCTACATACATCTTTACTATTGTCACTAAACCAGCTTTGGGAGATACTGCTTACCTTTGTTATGAGGGTAAAATGGAGGAAGGGAGACCCATTTACACCACCCTGAACTTGGACAAAGGGTGGGATAAAATGAAATAAATCTTGATCAAATAAGGATGACCAGAGTGTATAAAAGGGCTTTTTTGCATTTCTAGATTATGACCCTTACATATAAAAGAATGCCACATGAGGAAATGAATGTATGCAAGCGAGTCTGGCATTATTGAGTGTTAATCTGAATGCAAACTAGTGATGCCAAAGTGTGCTTGTCTTCTTTTAAAGGGTCCTGGGAACATTGCAGAACACTCCAGAGTTTTCCGAGGCCTTTCAGTGCACCAACACAGACTACATGGATCCTAAGAAAAAGTGTCGCGTTTGGTGACAGAACTACAAACAGTGCAACCCAAAGGACAAAACTTCCCAGGAATCTGGGACATTTTATGGGTGGCGGGAGTGGATTTGCCACGGAAGGAACGACAGACACACATCGAGAGCACCAAAGCAATGCAGCTTCCAGAAGGAAGGAAAGACTGCTGAGAGCACCCGTGCCAACTATTATTCTGACTAAACTTGGGAAACTATAAATCACTGCATACATAAAATTCCTGCACTTACGGTGTTATAGTTTAATTCTGAAAATCATTTTGCCTGCAGGCTTTATTTTATGTTTTACCCTGTTCTTCGACACGATTGCTTGAAAGCAAGTCTCACGGGTCTCCATGGAACTTGCTTCCATGGAAGTGTACTTAGCATCACAGCCTTAACAACCTGCTGCCCTGAGAATGTGCACTGATATTTCTAATCAGACAGAAAGGAACACCAAGGAACATGTTATCTTCGATGTGGAAACATAAGAATGAGTCAAGAGTTTACATCCAAGTGTTGGATTCTCTAACATCTCTTATCACGGTTCATGTGCTTTACCAAATGTTTATTTTCCAGAGGTGGCCTTAGAAACTGAATGAACAAAGAGAAATCTGTTGGAGCCTAAACATTCAACATTTGTGAGCATTCCAAATTCAGTGCCCTCAGAATTTTGTTGACATCTGCACATCCCCATGCCATGGTGAATACATACGTGAAGCTGCCTTATACTGAATCAGGCCCTTGGTCTGTCAAGGTCAGTATAGTGTACTCTGGCTGGCAGTGGCTCTTCAGGGTCTCTGGTAGAGGTCATCCACCCCTCTTACTATCTGACCCTTGTAACTGGAGATGCCAGGGATTGAGTATGCAGCCTAGATACTCTACCACTGGCCCTTCCACCTGTGGTCCCAATCCAGTTGTAAGATAAGTAGTCATGTATAACAACTGCTGACGCTTGCTGTAGATGTCCATCTCCACTGGCTTCAAGAGATGCACCTAGGTAGCAACAGGGCTCAGATTAATATTGTAGTGTGTGTGTATGCATGAGAGCCAGTTTGGTGTAGTGGTTAAGTGCATGGACCCTAATCTGGGAGAACCGGGTTTGATTCCTCACTTCTTCACTTCCAGCTGCTGGTGTGACCTTGGGCAAGCCATAGTTCTGTCAGAGCTGTTCTCTCACGAGCAGTCCTCGAAAGAGCTCTCTCAGCCCCACCTACATCACAGGGTGTCTGTTGTGGGGAGGGGAAGGGAAAGGAGATTGTAAACCACTCCGAGACTCCAAGTGAAGGGCAGGGTATAAATCCAATCTCCTTCTTCTTCACAGCTGATTTATGGCAACCCTATAGAGTTTTCTAGGCAAGAGACTAACGGAGGTGGTTTGCCATTGCCGTCCTCTGCACATCAACCCTAGACTTCCTTGGTGGTCTCTCATCCAAATACTAACCATGGCCGACCCTGCTTAGCTTCCAAGATCTGATGAGATCAGGCTAGCCTGGGCCACCCAGGTCAGGGCAGTATTGTAATACAGATGGTGATTTGCACTAGAGGTACAACAGCAACGCACTCCTGTGGCTTGCATGGATTGATCTTTCTTGTGGGGTTGGGGCATATATTGGGGCCCTGATTTGTCTCTCTTTTGTTATATATCCTTACCCTTCCTTGCACTGCCACATTGCTGGGAACAGAGAAAAACCATGAAGCAAACCTTCCTCTTCCTTGCTGCTTCGATGGCTTTTGTCTTAATGGGAGATGGGTAGTGGAGCAAAATATTCCTCTCTTCTGTCTTCATTATCCACAAAATAAGGGACCTCTGCCTGCGCCAAATGCTTGCACTCTGTGGACTCCACTCTAAGGCCTCTTCTGTTTCTTTTCACTTTATGTGCAATTGTTAACATGAGAACAATCCAAAGACAAATTGTAATTTACTTAAGTGATTCTCTATGGACCAAATTTGCTGTTTGCTATTTTTCAGCCGAAATGATACTGTACATAATTATTTTTAGCATTTATTGTAATCACAATGGTTTTAATCAAAGATCCCTTCACATTTTTTTCTAAGATTTTCCTGCTTTCTTTCAAAACTTGCTCTTTTGGGGGCCTGGGCAGATTTGTAATAATATACAAGATCACACTTTTTAATATTTAATTCTGAACTACATGGGACATGGTTCGGGTCATATCACTGGGGTATCAGAGTACAAACATTTCAACAAATTTATCCTCAAAACAAAGATCTCTAATAGGGTGAACAGACTGATTACTTTTGATATGAAACTCAGAGGCCAGCTCTACAAACTTTGAGATCTATACACCAAACACAAGAGGTATTCACAATTCCTCTAAAACTACCATGAACTTTACAATTAGTAAAACATATTTTAAATCTGCTACAACAGATTTGAAATGCCTTTCCTCAGGTGACCAGGTACATACTGCTTCTGATATAGAAAAATGCTCAGATGTCCAAAATAAATGCCAGATACCTCAGACGACTTTGAGTGGTTTTGTTTCTGAGCATTTTAAGATCCTATGCGCATTTTACTTCTCAAATTTGTCATCTGATGAAAGATTTTAATTAAATGTGAATCGCATGCTCTGTATTGACTATAATTCTTGAAATGTATCTTTGCTTTTCAGGGCAGTACATATTATTGACTATTTATTCTACTGAACTGGGATGTAGATGACTCCTTGAGCACATACAGTGCTGCCAGCATAGGGAATTGTTGACTTACGGTAGCCATTTTTGAGTTTTTGGAACATTTGGCATCTGGTTCTTTGTAGTAAATAGGCCATGCAATCCTTTCCCTTAATCAGAAGATGAGCTTCTTCATGCCATCCAGAAATCTCCTCAACTTGATTGAGAACATAAGAAGAGCCCTACTGGATCAGACTGATGCCCTATTTAGTCCAGCATTCTGTTTCATACAGCAGTCAAACAGTTGTCCCTGGACAGGCAACAAACAGGACATAGTAGCCAAGGCCTTCTCTAGATGTTGCCTCATAGCACTGCTATTCAAAGGTTTACTGCATTGAAAATGGAGGTTCCCTTTACCCTCCATCAATCTGTCTAATCCCGTTTTAAAGCCATTTATGCGTGTAGCCATCACTGGGTCCATTGGCACGGAATTCCACAATTTAACTACTCAGTGAATTAAGAAGAATTTCCTGTTACCTATTGCACTCTCCACCATTCCTTGGTATACAGCAGCTCTCACACACCTCTGTTATCTGTGTATTGGAAGAGATGGTAATAAAGGCTCATTCTGCATCTAGCATTTGCTCCACTGTTTTACCAAACCCATGTTCAAGCAGAAATTCCCCTCTACATTCCATGCCACGTTCACTTTCTTTGATTGTCAGGTTTAATGGTAGCCTCCACACTGCATGCTGTTTTCACTTCCCTTGATCTCTCTGTTTTATGGTACCACCTGCATTGATTTATCGCCATTTTATGGCCATTCGGGGTGACTCTGCAGTCAGTACAGCATTGGCCCGGGGTATCTGAATGAGGTTTTGAGCTGCATCTTTTTCTGTTCCATTGTGGGTTTAGTAAAACAACAAAGCGAATGCTAGATGCAGAACGAGCCAATAATGACCTATGCGTTCAGAGCCTGAGCAGAGAGACAGATAAGCCGATTGTGGAAAGTGATGAGGATTTAACAAATGGAACTAAGGAAGGAATATCCCTTCAGGGTCACTTAACACATATGTTGGCTGCCTTGAGACTGAACTGCCTATTATGGGTTTTAAAAAAAATCTATATTATGTAAAAGGGATTGGGCTGAAGTTGAGAGAGTTACAAGACCACCTAGTGAAGTCCTGATTGAGATGAGACTGAAACAGGCTCCCTCCAGGGCTTCAGATTAGACATGATTAATCTTGAGGAACACTCTCTGGTTCTATGGATGGAGTGACTATTAATATAAACAGTTGTTTGAACTGAAGTAATACTACTATCATTTTTTTTTATTTATAAAGAAATAACTGTAGTGCTGTATTTTCACAATGTGCAGGAGAAAGCACTGCACCTCCTACACCACCATTCAGTCCTCTGTACATTGTGAACCATGAACCCTGACCAATGATTTGCTGCTTATACACAGGTTATACACTGCATGTTTAAAAGCTTAGAAGTGCTGTACAAAGAGGAAACAGACTGTGAAGGGTTAATTCGTCACAGAGCCAGAGAGCCTTGAGTGACAGGCTGTTCCAAGAGATCTGATTGGTTAGCATCAGCTGAGCAGAGAAAGACTTCTGAATTGGATGCTGAGGAGAATTCAGTCTGATTTTCAGCCCTAGCTGAGAAAGTTTGAATATTGACAGTTTCAGAATTCAGCCTTGACTGAGAGCAGTTTAACGATCCCAGTGGCTGCATTTTGTTAAAAAAAAAAACCTATGTGCAAAAAAAGATTTACAGAATCACATATAATGTGTCGTTCCCCCCTTTAACTAATGAGTAAATTGCTAAAATGATCTTCTTCGTGGTCTCTGTGCATCACACATCTGGGATATAGTGCGCCTGCGCCGACCCCGATCAGTATAATGGAAAGCAAAAGGGATTTTCGCACCCGCTCCCCGGTCATGTGCCGGGCTCCACTGCGCATGACTAGGGGAGGGGCACGATGATCCTGCCAGTTCTCTTCTGACCGCCACGCTGATAGGATCTTCTCCACCTCGGTCGGTAACAATTTTGGCTTTTAGGCCCCTTTTCTTGTTTTTTGTATTTAGTTAGGAAAGTAGTTTATGGTTAGTTAGAGTTTCTTTGGATTTATCTCTGCTCCGGCGGAGATTTTTCCCCCTCCCTCCAGCCTATGGCCAAATGGTGGGGTTTCTTTCGACAGTACTGGAAGTGTGGTAGCAAAATCGCCCTCCCTGATGGACACTCACTTTGCCTTTTGTGCCTGGGGGAACTGTTCCAAGTTCCCCAAGCAGACAAGGAAGAATCAGGCAGCTAGACTCCGAGTCGCATTGTTGGAGCTTGCGCTCTCTCCGATGGTGTCATTGCAGGACTCTTCTGGCCACACCTCCATGTTGATATCAGAGTCGACTCTGTCTTCGACATCGGCTCAAGTTGATGCCAACCGATTGGTGCTGAAACGCTTGATCACAGTCTGAAGCCCATACTCCTTAAAAAAAAAACATAAGGAGGGCAAGGACGATCAGCCTATGAAGCATAAGAAGCACAAGAAAGGCAAGTCTCTGCCGACAAAGCTCTGTTGACTCCTCACCGAACTGAGGTAGCAACATCGTCCAGAGCCGCTTCACTTGATTTACTTGGCCGTGGGCAGCTACAAGGTGCATCTAAGTCGCCTTCGCTTCGCCCCACCCAGTCCACTGACTCCGAACAGGACATGGACTTGACCCAGGTTCCTCGCTCCCCCGGTGTCAAGAGCCTGCATCTAGAGCAAGGAGCAAACACTGTTCGCCCTTCGCCGCTGTTCGACCCCAATTATCGGGATTGACCTACGGGATTCTTCCAGCCCCCTCCCGCCTGGGACCAATGCCAGTGGCAGTACTTGTATGGGGTTTATCCCTTCACAGGAGCGATGCCATGGCTTCCCCTGTGCCCTCCTTCAGACTGGGACTGCCAATCTTCTTCCTCTCGGCTCTCTCGGTATCGAGACCCTTCCCCAGCACTGGAGTTTACCGAACCTCGTCCGTTGCAACAGAGCGCTAAGCATCCCACTCCACAGGCATCGGCATCGAAAAAACTCAAGGAACCATCGGAGCCAGTGCTGTCAACACCGATCTTCCAAAACTCATTTTCCGAGCCTTTGAACCGTTTCAGTTCCTCCAATTCCTCTCAGTCAGGTACGGAGAGTCCGCGCCCCCCAATTGAGCCTTCCCCTCTGCAGCAAGTGGGAGATGATCTTCCAATTTCTCCATCAAAGGATGTTAAGTCTTATGAAGACTTTGTTAAATGAATGGCCAACAGCCTAGTCTTGCCTACAGTACAACCGCCACCGGCAGTTACGGACTCGGTCTTTGATATTGTCCAGATGGACACCGCAACAGCGGTCACCCTCCCCATGACTTCGGTCTTGTTACAGACCACCAAGGCTCCTTGGGCTCATCCCTCGTCCATCCC